GCACTGAAAAAGTGACATGATCGTTTTTAATACTTATGACCTGTAGCAAGAAAGGCCATAAAATGGAGCAAAACTCACTTAAATGTCGCACTTAGCAACATAAATTTTGGCTTCAGCTGTGGTTCTAAGTCGAGGACTATCTGTATTGACATTGTTACTTGGAGTTGAAGAAGTAAGTGACAGAACGTTTGTCAATTTCACAAGATTAAAAGGTGAGAAAGGAAGTCCGGGTTTTCACATTCCATCAATGATTCCACTGGTGAATTTGTAAAAATGAAAAATCATGAAGGACTATTCTGAGGGGCGAAGTCCAAACATCTTAAAGTTGCCAGGCTTGACAAACACTGATGAGAGGTAGTGATCAATGTCCAGAGGGGAGCAGGAATTCCACTGGCAAAAGCCAATTGCTATGCAAGTGTTCATCTACAATGAAAAAAACAAACAAACCTGAAATGAAGCAGAACAAAGGCTCCCCACTTGAACACAGATAGAAGGAGGAAAACAGCACTTTGAATCTATGCCAGGGTGGCATCATGAATTCCTGCTGGGAAACAGTCAGTGGCTTGTACTCACACTGGAGCAAGGTGATTATACAGATTAGTCCTAAGAAATCAATATAACATCTTTGTACTTTTTAAGATCTCTTTCCCTTCACCAACTCCCTTCAATCATTTAAAATCAAGACTTATAGGAAAAGATCATTAAAGACCGACCTCTACTCACTCACTCTGCTACCTTCACTAGAATCTGAACTTGGAAACTTCTACACCAGGGGTGTCCAACCTTGGCAGCCAGCTTTGCTGGCTGAGGAATTCTGGGAGTTGAAGTCCACAAGTCTTAAAGTTGCCAAGGTTGGACACCCCTGTTCTACACCTTATTTTACCTTCTCAGATTTGGGCAGTTGTTATGTCAAGGACTGGATATCTAAATGAGGACTCTGAGGATAGGGCCACGTGCCTAGCTCCAGCTGCCCTCCCTCTCTTCCATCCATTCTAAAAACCTGAGCCAACTTCTATTAGTTGTTGTTCTCACTTTTCAGACCCTTGTTTATATGAATCAGCTGTTAAAATCTTTTTGTAGCTACAAGGGCCATTTTTGTAACAGGCTGCAGAGTCACAATTCCTGATTGTCCAAAGAGACTGCCCAGACACTGGGTGAGAGGTGAGAAGGCTTACACAAGGTTGCATGGTAGCTCAGTGGACAGAAATAGAATGCAGATCCCTGGAGTAAAGTCCCACACTCATGCCCTGTGTACAAAAGGGGAACTGACTCCTAAACATGCTGAAACCACATGCATTTAAAACAGGGGGAAAAGAGGGGGATACTTACCTTTCACCTGGATGAATCAAATTGCACACTAAAAGAAAGGACTGAAAAGGTCTCTGGAGGAATGGCTGACTTTCACCAGCTTTGGATTCTAAACGTACTCCTTTAATCAAAATAACTGGCTCCTAACACTGAGAATTTCAGCAGTGTAGAAGAGTAGCTATTGAGGCTTACATTCAAATTCCCCTGAGCCACATAGCTCACTGATTTCGGCTAACATTGCTCTCAGAAATGGAGTAGAGGCGCCTTGAAAAGAAAGGACAAAACTAAAATGTGTGTGTGTGCAAGTGGAGGCTGTATAATCAAGAAGCAAATGTGGCAAACCCCACATTTGTGCTGAGTCAGTTAGGGGAAACAGATTCAGTGTTGTTGGCTACCATGGAAATTCTGCCAAAGTCACAGTACTTATACTTCACCCAGCTGCTCTAAAGTGTAAAACCAAAATGGATCTTGTATGTACATTTCCCTTCTCTCCATGGTGATGTAATATAATTGGACAAAATGCTATCTTCTCTAGACAAAAGGCTGTAAGGGGAGGAAAAAGGTAGGCCAGAACTTTATGAAAAAGTTATCCCCTCTGGCTGCAAAACTCCATTCAGCTGTAAAATGGAAGCAAAATTGTGACAGCCAAGAAAAATCTGTATCCCTCTGGTAGTCATAATGGTGTTTTAAGTGTCTATATATGGGCATATCTTGCCATTATGAGAGTAAGACCAATATCTAAATCAGTGTTTTTCAAACTTGGCATTTTTAAGATGTGTAGACTTCAACTTCCAGAATCCCCTGACATGAATGCGGATAAAGGAATTCTGGGAGTCAGAAGTTGCTAGGTTTGAAAAATAACTACCTAAATAGTCTTACCACAGCAGCTAACCTGAATCCTTCAAATGGAACTTAAGAACAATTAACCAGTGGACCTGCTTGCCTTCAGAAGTTGTAAGTGCTTGCATCACTGGAGGTTTGTAAGAGATTGGACCAAAGGTGGTATTCAGCAGGTTCTGACCAGTTCTGGAGAACCGCTAGTGGAAATTTTGAGAAGTTTGGAGAACCGGCAACTACCTCTGACTAGAGATTTTACAGTATCCTTCCTCTGCCACGCCCATCAAGCCTCACCCACGGAACCGGTAGTAAAAAAAATTGAATCCCACCACTGGATTGGACAAACGTTTGTCCAAAATGGTATAGGGTCTTCTGCTTGAGCAGGAGGTTGGACTAGGGCAGAGGTCTTCAAACTTGGCAACTTTAAGACTTGTGGACTTCAACTCCCAGAATTCTCCAGCCAGCATAGTTGACTGAAGAATTCTGGGAGTTCAAGTCCACAAGTCTTAAAGTTGCCAAGTCTGGGGACCCCTGGACTAGGGTCCCTTAGCCTGTAAAGTGCCACAGAGGTTTCCAGGACTTCATTCCTCAGCAGTTGGCATTTAGAGGCCTTGTGTGTCATCTGGTCACCAAAAAACCATTAGTAACTTCCTTGTATCTAATTGTTTAAATCAGATTCTTTCTCTTTGAAAGAATCGCCCCCTTGAGCCACTGAGGAAGTTATCATCGCCTCCCCTCCCCCAACATAACCTCTCAATCACAACACAGGGAAATAATTCTTCAATTTATGCAAACATGTTTTCTTTAAAATTGTCATCAGGACATATCCATGCAAATAATTTATTTCCAGTCTTTTTCCCATATCTCAACTATGTGAAAAATTCTGATGCCACCCATCACTTTACTTCCAAACTTCGTGATACATGTATTTCATTATTATCTCATTTATTCAAGACACTTAAATGCAATGACCACTGAAAACAAAATTCAAGTGCAAGAAAATGAAATGCCCGAAAAAAACAGTAACATTTAATGATTTAATTACAAGTGAATTTTAAGACCCAAAGGAATATAAAAAGGGCGTAAGAACAAACCGCAATGCAGGAACTAAGAATTTCAAGACGAATACCCTGAAACTAATTTAAGATTCGAGGAAAATATATATTCATGCACACTGTAAAAAGGGTTAAAAAGACACAAAGAAAAATTTTACGGAAGGAAAGCAACAAAAATCAGAGCGACCAATTTAATGGGTAGAGTGATAGAGGCTGCTGCGCAAGGCGCATGAAGATGAGCGATGCGTATTCACATATGTACGGCATTCTGAAGCTAGCTGGAGGAACATTTTAAAACACAGTTCAATCCACTAATAGCGAGCGATCTGATGTTTTTGTACAGCGGTTCACCGTACGAGGTTAAGAACCACTGGTTTAAAGCAGGGGGTCTCCAGCCTTAGCAAACTTTAAGACTTGTGAACTTCAACTCCCAGAATTCCTCAACTAGTTTTGCCGAGGTTGGAGACTTCTGGTTTAAAGCCACGTTAAAATCGAATCCCGGGTCTGTCTTTGGAAAAGTCAAGGAATCTTGATATTCTGTAGCCCGCGTTTGCAGTAACCTAATCTGAATCGTAATATCGGGTCGAGTTAAATTTCAAATCGTTTCATAAAGCAAAAAAATGCAGCGAATCACCCATTAAACCTCCTCTGAATTGCGCAATGTCCGTTTAAGGCAATGCGGTTTTAAGGGAAAGAGTGAAGGTCACCCCAACACGAGCCCTGGCGCACGTCGCTCAAGAGTGATTGAACAGTGAGAAAGGCCGCCTGGACAGATGCTACGTGACTATCTCCAGGTTGACAAACGAACGCGATTTATTGCTGCTGCCTTGAACGCTTTGGGCGCCCTTCCCCGGCGCGTCTCCTTGGGGGCTGGCGACCACCTCCGCCTGCGCATTACCAGACCAGGAGGTTCTGCTTCTGGCCAATGGCTGTAGGATGGCGGCGTGTTCGGCGCATGGGCAGTTCCATTGGCCAGCCGCCTGCAGGAACGAAGCCAAGCGGTCGGTCCGGGCAGGGGCGGGGCCTTGAACAAGCGTGGGACTATAAAGTACGGAGGCCGACGGCTACTGTAGCAAGTTAACTGGAGTGAAGATACTCCTATTGTTGCTTCTGTGAGGAACTGAAAGAGGCGCTCTGATTTCAACGGCTGATAAAAGCTCCGAGCGAGACAGACGAGTTCTTACAGGTAAGGCCGGCCGACGTTTAATTTATTTTTGTCTTTTGATTGTCCAAGCTGCAGTGCCGGTTTAGAACCGAGCTGCGGCTGTTCTCCTCTGTTCGAAGACACTGAATTCATGGGAAGGATTCGTGGGGTTGTAGTGGACAGAAGGGCTATTATTTTATTTTATTTTTTAAAAGCCTAATGATTTTGGATTCAGGCTGTTGCATATGGTTGGCCACATAAGGAGAATTGTACTTGGACTGTATTAGAAATGCATCTACTGTAGCCTTTTTATACAGAATAACAGTATGGAAGGGAAAATGGAGACCTTGGAGGTCTTCTAGTCTAATCCCTTCTTCAGGCAGGAAAAAGTATACCATTTCAAACAAATGGACGTCCAATCTCTTCTTAAAAACTTCCAGTATTGGAGCAACCACAACATCAGGAGGCAAATTATTTAAGTTGTTTCTTATAATGAGGCTCTGTAAGCTGCTAAGCCTCCATTGGGGGGGAAAAAACTGTTCTTTCAGAGTAGGATGGCCTAGACTAAAAGGCTTTTCACAAGCTAAGCTGTAGCTGACCTACTTTTCTCTTGTTTCTCCTTCTAGGTGTTTCCAAGCAGCTGGACTATGGAGACAATGCAAGAGCTGATCCCATTTGCAAAAGAAATGCTGAGCCAGAAGCCCAATGGGAAAATGGTCAAGCTGTACATGCTGGGCAGCGTGCTGGCCTTCTTTGGGGTGGTTATCGGCTTGGTAGAGACTGTCTGCAGTCCTTTCATCTCTGAAGGGAAACTGGAGGAAGAGGAAGAGGAAGAAGAGGAGGAGAAAAAGAAAATGTCCGTTCTGCCACTGACAAAAAGAGAGAAGAAGGTGGAGGTTGTGGTTCAAAAACAGGAGGACGTGATCCAGGAAAAAGGCAAACAAGTGCTGACTTTAAGGAACTCTGTGAACAGGCAACGTGCCTCATAGAAAGACTCTTTCTTTGCTCTGCAGTTTAATTTAGGTTTGGTGGTGATCTGCAGGACATTTGTCCCTTCTTAAGGGACAGATTTGCAATAATGCCTTTATGAGAGAACATCTCTGGGTTCGAAGACTGCAGTCCAAAAAGACTATTAACAACAATTTACTTTGCTGCTGTGCAGCAGTTGAACAGCACTGCCATTTAAAATCTTACATACCTGTTCTTTTGGTATGAAAATGCAAAGCTCTATTGTACCTTATCCCTGCCTATGTGGGATTTATTTTTTACTAATGTGTTTGTTTTACAAATATTTTGCATTTTAAATAAACCATTTTATACCTGACACTAACAGATGCTGGTGTGGACCTCTTGAATGTGGAGGGAGGGCTCTCTGAAGAGCATTAAAAAGAAGGGGTTTATTTCACTTTGGTGTTCTAGATTAAGCAAAGTTGGCTTACACATTGGGGGAAAATATTAAAATGAAGAGCATTGGTTTATCAATTTTCTTTATAAATAATTTCAACCAAAAGCAAGGACCAATTTTTGAAAGGAAAAAGTATTCTAGGATTAAAATTTGGACCTTAAGTATCAAAATCTGAAGTCCTTTTTCTGAATTAAACTATTTTTCAGTATCTGCTTGATAATTTACAAATTGGAAAATATGAATATAGGGAGAAAGAAAATTAGAGGCTAACTTGTAATCCACTTGTAAATGCACAAAGATGGAAGGATCTGATATTCAATGGTGAAAATACAGTAAAAGTATGCCTATTCTATGGTAAGGCATCTGTAGAAGGCTTAATCTTCATAAGTGTACTTCACAAATCAGTGGTATGTGGTGTCTAAATAGAGAATGTTCCTACATTAGCAAACATTGCTTTTGACAGAGATAGCTGTCATTATTTTTCAGTCATACAGTAGCATGGTCACAGTATTGCAAAGGCTTTCTTATCCCTAGATTTTATTGGAATTGACAAATAGACATATGTGCTAGCCATTTCCAGCTCTAGGGGCGGTGCTCATCTCCGTTACAAAGCCAAAGAGCCAGCGCTGTCTGAAGATGTCTCCGTGGTTGTGGCTGGCATGACTAAATGCTGAAGGTGCCCAGAATGCTGTTACCTTCTCACCAAAGTAGTCCCTATTTTTCTACATGCGTTTTTACATACTTTTATATGCTTTTGAACTGCTAGGTTAGCAGAAGCTGGGAGCTCATTCCATTACATAACGCTAGGGATTCGAACTGTCAACCTTTCTAATCAACCAGCTCAGCATCTTAGCCACTGAGCCACTGTGTCCCTAGTAATTAATCTTATCTATAACTAAATGTAGGTACCACGGTTCTTGTGACTAAGGATCATTTAGAGAAAAATCCCAAATCTTAACTAATTTATATAGCCATATAGAATATGCAAGTTTATATTTTGCTAATTCAGCAACGCACAGATTCTAAATCCCCACCCTACAGATTATTCACCACTTTGTTGGTGAATAATATGATTATAATATCCCAACATGATACAGAGGGAAATGGGTAAATTCTCCATCTGTAAGATTCTGACAATGTAATGTTTTACTTCCTCAAGGGCAGACAGGAATAAGCTAAATGCAACAGGAACAGTCCAAATTGAGGAATTAATCGACAGCAATTTAATCTCCATAATGATAATCGGTTTTACTGAAATGATATTCTCATATTATGGTCCCATTAATGTATTGACTTGTTAAACAGACACTATACTAGAATGATGTAGCAGCAAGAGGTGCTATACAACTGAAAGATTAAAAGTTGACAGCAAACTGAAGTTATACAAGCAATATTGATAGCATTGGTTATTATCTGTATTTAAATCACACCACTCTTTCGTAAGTCCAGCAGTGACCATATACAGAAAGAATATCCTGCTATAAAAGAACTGGATTTGCACCGATCACTGTTAACTACAATTTGGGGTTTTGTTTACCATCTGCATTACACTCAAAAACCTTTTGTTGGAGATTTGCCTCATTACTAACAAAAGAAAGACAAAGGAAAGAAATAAGCATCAGTCAATGGTAAACTTTGAATGCCTAACCTTTCCTTCTTATAATGGTCATTTTAATGTTTTATATTGCTTAATTGTTCAATGGGCAGTGATTTACTAAGATAGAAGATGCTGCAGGAAAAAGATATGGTTCAGTTTGCAGAGCATACTTGGTCACAAACTAATCTATCACATTTTGATCTAGCATGGTATGCTAATACATTAATTTATGATTTTAGACTTTAAAACAAATACCATACATGTATGCTGTATGAAACCAAATAACTGAGTCAACCATGAGTAAGTTAGCCACAGTTAGGCATTATATGAATGCAGTTAATCTATGCCAGAGGTAATTTCAGGAAGATGAGGATTGGCAAGATTATGGATAATTCTTTCCTGCCTGACTTCCTGGAACTAAGCTGGGAAAGCAGGAGAACCTTCTCCATGCTGCTAGCAATGTGTATCTCTGTTATTTTCTTCCTTACTGTGTCACTCCAACCATAGATAATTCAGCACAAATCATTCATCTCTTTTGGCCACATCTGCTTTTTGAGGAGGCAAAATAAATCCTATGTTCTCTTCCTCTATATCTCATGCATTTAGTTATTTATTGTTAAATAAAAGCCACACATTGAACCATAGTAGAACTGGCTGAGCCCAAAAGGTAAATGCTTAGAAGTTTCGAACTTTATCTTCCAGAAGCCTATTTAGAAAGCCATTCTCCCTCCCAGAAGAATGAAATATTTTGAATATTTAAAAAAGCCAGGATAAAATATTTCCCCTGAAAGAGAAATAAAAAAAATCTCAAGGGAGACAGAAACTCAGAGCCCCAGCTCCCACCCCGCAGCAGATATTATGTGCCCATTGAGAAAGATTGGGGCAGCCTATCTCCAAAACAAAAGTCCTTCAGCTGGAGGATGATGGGATTAAGACATGGCCCTTCAAGACATAATTTATTTTATTTATTTATTTATCTGATTAGTCAATCGCTTACAAGATAATAGGTATGTATAAAGATCATTATGAATACATGAAATGGATACATATAAGAAAAATATAAAAGAAACAATAGGACAGGGACAGTAGGCACATTGGTGCACTTATGCACGCCCCCTACAGACCTCTTAGGAAAGGGGTGAGGTCAATAGTAGACAGTCTACTACATCTGTTAAAATACTGAAGTTTGGTGATTACACAACAGTGATTGGTCTAATTCGAGACAATGATGAATCTGCATACAGACAGGAGGTTATACAACTTGCCTCGTGGTGTAACCGGAACAATCTGGAACTGAACACACTCAAAACCGTAGAAATGGTGGTAGACTTTAGAAGAAACCGTCCCATACTACCACCTCTTACAATACTAGACAACACAGTATCAACAGTAGAAACCTTCAAATTTCTAGGTTCTACTATATCACATGACCTAAAATGGACACCTAACATCAAAAACATCATCAAAAAAGCACAACAAAGAATGTTCTTTCTGCGCCAACTCAGAAAGGTCAAACTGCCCAAGGAGCCGCTGATACAGTTCCACAGAGGAATTATTGAGTCTGTCATTTGCACCTCTATAACTGTCTGGTTTGGTTCTGCAACCCAACAGGACAGATACAGACTTCAGAAGATAATTAGGACTGCAGAAAAAATAATTACTACCCACCTTCCTTCAATTGAGAATACTGCACGAGTCAAAAAGAGGGCTGTAAAAATATTAACAGACCCCTCATATCCTGGATACAAACTGTTTCAACTCCTTCCCTCAAAACGACACTATAGAGCACTGCACACCAGAACAACAAGACACAAGAACAGTTTTTTCCTGAAAGCCATCATTCTGCTAAACAAATAATCCCCTCAACACTGTTCAACTATTTACAAAGTGTACGCTACTATTACTGTTAATCTTCTCATCACTCCCTATCACTCATCCCCTCCCATTTGTGATTGTAGGACTGTAACTTTGTTGCTTGTATCCTTACAATTTATATTGATTGTTTCGTAGTATGATTTGATTGTTGATTGTACCCTATGACTATCATGTTGTATATTATGATTCTTGATTCTTCTCAGAGTGATGTGAGATTGCAGCTGCTTCTTCCTTTTAACTGCTAGTGGGGGTGTGACTTGATTGGGTGGGGGCTTGGCTGTGTTCTGATTGGGTGGGGGTGTGTTCTCATTGGTAGGGGGTTTGGCTGTGTTCTGATTGGTTGGGGGGTTGGTCGTGTTCTGATTGGCTGGAGGCATGTTCTGTTCAGGTGGGGGCTTGGTTGTGCTCAGGTTAGTCTTAGTTGCTGGGGGATTTGAGTTGGTGAGCTGTGATCTTGCTGTTTGGCTTCGAGTTCGTGGTCGTGCTGCATCTTCATAGTGGGTGTCGATTTGCTTCATGTATGGCTCGAAGGGGTTTGAAGTGGGTAGTGATGCAGCTGCAGTGCAGCTTCTGGTCCATGGTTGTGTCTCATCTTCTGAGTGGGTGTGAGTCTGTTTTCTACATGGAAGTGTGGTGGTGGCATCTTGTGTGGCTCTCATGGGTGTGGGTCTGGTGTCATTCTTCATGTTAGGTGCTCGTCTGTTCATGAGGGCGGGTTTCCAAATGGCTGGAAGGCGGGAGGTGTCATCTCGTTTGTTCATGCTGTGTGGGCGTTTTTCTATCTCTATGGCTTCTCTGAGTATTCTGCTGTTGAAGTGTTCGGTTTTGGCAATAGTTCTGGTATTTTTAAAGTCAATCTCATGTCCTGTGGCTTTGAGGTGTTGGACCAGGGAAGAGGTCGTTTCTTCTTTTTTGATTGAGTTCTTATGTTCTTCAATGCGTGCACTTATTCTTCTGTTAGTTTGTCCAATGTATGTGGTGGGGCAGGCAGTGCAGGGGATTTCGTATACGTACAGCCTGAAGATGATGAATGAGACTTCATCGAAACGTTGCCTAGATACTTCGAATCTTACGCGGGAGAAAACCCGAACAACCAAAGATCCACATACAAA